GAACTAAAAAGGCTAATTGAGTCTTTTAATTAGGTGTTGACATAGTCAACTTAACCAGACATGATAAAACCCTTATTTACTTGCTTTCAAACTCTTTTTACCTAGCCATGACTTAATATCTTAAAAGGTGTGACTTAATTCAAAATTCATAATTTACTCATCTATCATGGGTTTTAACATTTACTAAACTAATGAGATACCCTCTCACTAACTCGTTATCAAATTTTTGGTAAATTTTGAAACACTGTATTTTTATCGAAAATTCATGGTAATTGCACTTTATCTGAAAAGTGACTTATATTACATAATTAGATTTATTATTTAATTTATCTCAATTTATCTTGAAAAAATCCCCTAATTACTCATTTCACAGGTGCAAGTTATTATACCAGGGCAGTCTAGGAGTAGCTGCATGTGGTGGTGTTTTTCATGATTCCATGAGCATGTGGATAGGATGCTTTGCGTACATAATAGGTTTCTACACAACCTTTGTTGCGGATCTTTGGGGTATCTTGAAAGCTCTAGAAAATGCATGGATGAAAGGACTAATGGCTCGTGATTATTGAAAGTGACTCTGCAAGCGTGGTCACTCTACTCACCAAGACATGTGACACAACCTATAAGTTCCACCTAGTGACTCACATATGGGCATAGCTTGCAAAGAATTGAGTGGTCCAGTTAGTACACACCTATAAAGAGGGAAGTCATTGTGCTGATTTGTTGGCAAACTTACTTTTGTCTAGTACCTTGGAAGATAAATTGTGTTGGTTTGAGGATCCTCAACTCGGGATGAAGCTTCTTGTCTTTACGGATATTACCTAGACCAGTAGGTCTCATATGATTAGGTGTTTTTAATTTATACTCTTATTTTTCTTTTGCTTTGTGCTTATGCCCTGTCATGTTGTAAAAAAAAAGTCACATTATTCTTTAAAAATGGTTTTACTCTAAATAGACCAGACTTATATAGAATATTTAGAGCATGTTTTGGCTTATTAGCCTTATATAGGTTCAAATTTTAAAACTGGTCTGACCTATTTTATATAAGGCCATGTCTTTTAGGCATAGCCTGACCTAAAAGGTTTGACTTCACCTATTAACTTATGTAAGCTATTAATCCTTCTAAGACTATTAAGAATTATAAAATATAACTAAATTATTATATATTTATTATTGAAATAATATTTTATTTTTATTTTTATATAGAATAAATAGTATCATATTAGCCGAGCTACAAGCTTAGGTTAGGCTTTTTGAAATTCATTTTTTTAGGCCTTAGTCCATCCTATTTTATTTTGTATATTAAATTTGACCTGACCCAACATATGCTAGCTATAGGCCTCTGGTAAGTGGTATATCTATACACACTTCTAATTATGGGTTAATAAATTTTAACTTTTGAAAATGTTTTTAAAAATATAATTTATTTTAAAATTTCATTTGATTAAATTTGAAATATTGTATCTTGTCGTCCAATCCTTAATGAATGTTATAAAATCATTAAGGTATGATAGCTCATGAAATCTTTTTCAATTAAAGATAATTCATTTATCATACTTTCTTGTTTTAAAAAGTCAACATAAAAATATTAAATGATCAAGCTTTCATGACTAAAAGGACTTTTTTTTTAAAAAAGGCTAACAAATTGCTATGGCTAAGCTAACTACCTAACTCCTAGCAAATCAATTTTTATAATTTTTTGAATTAATTCAAAATTAATAATTAAAAATAATCATAATAGTTATTTCCTTTTTATGTTTTATGAAATTTTCTTATGTTTTATTTGTGCGAAAGTTATATTCACTTTGAGTGGTGAGAGTATTCTTCTTTACCTAGTAGAATGTAACGCACCGTTTACAGCCGGTTAGTTAACATGTAATATGATAATAAAAGCGCAACATACTTAATAAAGCGAAAGACTTTCATGTATCACTATTACCCTATGTAGTTATCTGACTTAACTTTTTCCTCTCTTTTTTTCATGATGTATTGCCTTGCATATTTTATCTTTTGTATTATTATAAACTGTACAGTCCCATAACCATAATTAATGGTCAATGACTATCCGAGTGTGATAATATATACTATCCCGGATAGAATCTTACGGACAACATCACAGAAGTAAACTGGACAATCTAGGGATAACTCCCACTGTCTTTCATGGTACCTGAAAACCAGAAAAGTCTAGTCCAACATATATCCAATAATCCAATAACTATGGACATAGAATCCATCCATGGATTCATATATAATTGGCTTTGTGCTAACAATCATATCGACTTAATAATCCCATAACCATAATTAATGGTCAATGACTATCCACGTATGATAACATGTACCATCCCGAATAGAACCTTACGGTCAACATCACAGATGTAAACTGGACAATCTAGGGATAACTCCCATTGTCTTTCATGCTACATGAAAACCAGAAAAGTCCAGTGCAATATATATCCAATAATCCAACAACTATGGACCTTGAATCCATCCATAGATTCATACAGAATTGGCTCCGTGCCAACAATCATATCATCTAACATATTAGACATATAGTCTCATACATGCCAACATCATAAGCATATAATTGTATAAAGGCTAAACATGCCTTAATTACAAGCCATATACATCATATATACATGAAAATCTCATAAGATAGATCAGACTATACATGGTGCATGAACATATAACATGCTCTAAAAAAATAGGTACAGTCATCCTCCAAAATATAAAACACCTAACATGGATGTGTCTTCTAATCCTGTGCAGTCTCCTGCCCTGTGAGGACTCTCTTGCTGTTGCTGGAATACATGAAACATGTCAACTCAGGGTTTATGGAGTAGTTCTCCACCCATGAGTTCACTTCTTGTATGAAAGGTTAGTATCCACATAGTATGAATATAACATATAGCTAGAGGCAATAACGGTAATAATACAAGTTGTGTACACAGTACACTCGGATCCCACGTGAACCTAGTCCACTTGGTGTCTGTATCAAATCGCAAATGAACCTAGTCTATTTGGTGTCTGCATTGAATCTCCAAAAGATATATTATGCATCCAGTACTCTCGAATCACTCATGAACCTAGTCCATTTGGTGTCTGTCTTAGTCGTGAACTCAGTTCACTTAGGAAATCCATAAACATTCAATGGCCAAAGACATAAAATAACATCATCACACAAGCCTCAATTGCATAACAATTATTCTACTTATTCTAAAACCTAGTCCCCAGTGTTAATCCATTGGTATTTCACCAATGATATAACATCCTCTATACGAAAGCAATCAAACCATGTTACTAACACACCACTCAATATCCAAATAATAACCGTTACTTCTATAGAAGCACGGTGGAACAACATAATGGAGTAAATCTCCTAAACCTAAAAACATAATTAAACATTAATGACATCATTTCCATCCCACTAAATTCCATGAAATGTCATCTTATGACATCGTAATTAAGTTTATAGCAACTTTTTCTTATTTGCAAATTGGCCCATAAACTTTTCCATATTTGCACCCTATACTTTTCATAATTATATTTTGGCCCCTAAATGACTTGATTGGTAGGAATTGAATTCTTATTCATGCTTATCTCATTAATCCCTTAAAATCCAAACTTAATTCCATGCATAATTCACAATTTCACAACTTGATAACGTGGGTTATTATTAGAACATTAATGTAAATTTTAGACTGTGTAATTGTGCATCATGCACATGTATATGCATAATTTAGACTTGGCAAGATGGGTTGAACTCGACCAATCAACACGCCAAATTGGAACGGGTCAGGGACAAGTCATCCCGCATGTCACTTTAATATATATATATATATATATATATATATATATATATATATATATTTGAAATGTAAGATTATGACTTGATAGGTCTATGTAAATGGCTATTATGTGAGACAAAATCTTTTCCTGATGCTATTATTTTTCTGAAAATGTTATTTTTTATTCACTTTTGATTTGGTAGAAAAAGATATTAACACAAAAATAAAAGAAACTTAAACCTATTTTTGGATTTCAATGCTAGTATTTATTTGTACAAATCAAACTAGATGCTTATGAAATTCTAGTTACATAATGCAATGATGTGTTCATTTGGAAATATTCGGATACTTGATGTCATTATTTTATTATATAACACTGAAATTAGTAATGAATCTTAAGATATGAATTGTATAGTTATGTTAAATGAATTATTGGCTTAAAGCATTCATGTGTCATTGACTTATTGCTTGAATTGTTTTTTTAACTTGAGAAATATTTCAATGTTAGATATTAGAAATAAAAGATTAACATTAATATGTTTTATTTACTTTTTAATATTTTTTTTTGGATGGGTTGATGAGAAACATGATGAGTTGATATTTTTAACTCACTCATCAATGGTTAATCTCGTATCATTTTGGCGGGTTGAAGACGGGACAGGTTGGCCAGTCTTGCCAATGTGTACGCACACTCGCATTGACACACAACTACATGTAAATTATTAATGACCTAATAATTAATAATTAAATAATCATACGAACATAATACATTTAAATGAAATCTAAACTTATTTTAAATTATCTATTTTTTAAAATTATTCATGCTCAAGTCATTAGGTTTAATCTAGTAGTGAGAAGTTTGAGTAAGTTGTATTATGTTATATATTCAATTCTATTTTTATAAAAAAAATTATTCATACTCTATTTGGGAATAAATAAAGTTAGTTATAATACACGAATAAATTCGAAGAAATAAAATGACATTTTAGATAAATAGAAAATGAACATTATTATTTGCACATTTTTGTTACGCAATTATATTATTTTTTTAAAATAATAAACAAAAACACACGTGTCAAAAACATTTTATATCTTCAATTCCTAAAAAAATAAAAAAAATAAAAAAAATTGTACATTGTGATTCCAAACATTCACAAAACCCAACTGAAAAATATAAGGAGTAAGCCGAATTTACCACAAAGCAAAGGAAGAATCTGATCCTAGATTCCTAGAACAGTAAGGATAGAACTGAACTAATCCAACTGCACACAGAGACACACGATCTTGGTATATCCCTCAAGCCTAGAATCGTTTTTGTGAGTATAGAACTGAACTGATCCAAATACACAACAATGGACAGAGGTGCAAACACGAACCCCTACGATGAACAGAGGCTAAGAAACGAAGTGATATATCTCCACTCTCTCTGGCGCCAAGGTCCTCCTCTTCCATCGCCAAATCCCATTCATCTTCCAATTCAAACACCCAACAACACTATTCCCATTCCTTATTCATATCCAGAACCCTATATCCCTCAACAACCCCTTCGTTCCCATTTTCATGGATATCAACAACGCACAACCAACCCGCCGTTTGCACCCGCCCACACCAGATCACTCCCACCCATCACTTCCACCGCGTTTAAAAGAAAGAACAAGAACAAGAAGAAGCAGAAGCGTAAAACAAGGGACCCCACAAACAACAGTGTTGGACAACCCGACCCGGATCGGAGCCCGAGTCTGGAGTGGCCGTGCCCGGTTTTGCCCAACCCGCCTACGACGGGTTGGGCTACACCGAAGCCCCGTTCGGATCCTCCTCCTTCGGTGTCACCCGAAGAGAAGGAGAGGCTCGTGGCGGTGCAAGCTCAACGCAAGGCTTGCAAAGCTTTCAGAGATGTGTTCTGTTCTGATGATTATGATTATGATGATGAAGATGATGATGTTGTTGTTGATGATGATGATGATAATGATTATGATGGGTTGGATGAGTTTGAGGAGTTCTTTATGGGGATTTTCATGGAGGATGATGAACTGAGGAGGTATTATCAGAGATGTTTCGAGAATGGGGAGTTTTATTGCTTGGTTTGTGGTGCCATTGGGAAGAAGAAATCTGAGAAGAGTTATAAGGATTGTGTTGGTCTTGTTCAGCATTCGATGTCGATTTCGAGGACGGTGAAGAAACTAGCTCACAGGGCTTTTGGGCACGCCGTGTGCAAGGTTTTAGGTTGGGATATTGATCGGCTTCCAACGATTGTGATGAAGGGGAACCCTCTTGGGTACCCTGAGGCAGAGGTAATCTAATGAAGATTTTGAGTTCAATTGGAGAGTCTTTGTGATGATTTTGTTTTTTTTAGTAAATGTATAATTTGATATCTGAAATTTGTAGTTACTTGTACTTTGATTCTGAAAAGTTTATATCTATTCGAATTTGGAAGGGATGAATTTCTTAGCAAGTTGACAATTTTGGTAGGTAAGGGTGAAATTTGTATAGAGAGGAAGTTTTTGGGACTGAAGTAAGACAAAGGAACCAAGTTGTATATTTACTCTCGTTTTTATTAGCATATAAGTCTTTTATTTTTATTGCTTTACTTTGCCTTGCTGTCAAGTTTGTTATGCTGTTATTTTTCTACTGCCATTTCCTTTTTGTTAAGCCTTAGCTCATTCTGATAGAGGATGTGTATTTTTCTTTTGGTTAAGCCTTAGCTCATTCTGTTAGAGCATGTGCGGCTCCTCTTTTACGTTAGAGTTTTTCCTTTCAGGCTGATATATATATCTAGCCTCAATTGTACTTTTCAATTTTAATAGAAGATGAATATTCAGTTTCCATTCTGTTTCTTTCACAATTAATATGGTATCAGATGATTTGTAGCCCTTGCCAATCTCAATGGCTCGCGGCACCAATAATTGTCCACCCGCATCTGACCTTTCCGGCACCTCTGCTTCTGGTAACTCCTCCTCCATGGATGATTCCAGTAGCCCATATTTTTTACACAACAGTGATCATCCTGGCTTGATCTTGGTTCCTCATCTTCTTTCGGGTTCCAACTTTAACTCATGGCATCGTGCCATGCTTCTGGCCTTGACTGCTAAAAACAAATTAGTCTTTGTCAATGATTCCATTACTCGATCGCTTGCCTCTGACCTGCTGTTCTCTGTTTGGAATCGGTGCAACACCATGGTCATCTCTTGGATTTTGAATTCTGTTTCAAAGGACATTGCTGACAGTCTTCTCTATTTCTCCAACGCCTATGACGTTTGGTCCGACTTGAAGACTCGTTATTCCCAGGCCAATGGTCCTTGGATCTTTCAACTCAAGCAGCAGATCTCCTCTCTTTGTCAAGGACCTCTCGATGTGAACAGTTATTACACCAAGCTCAAATCTATTTGGTATGAGCTTCATGACTATGCTCCGCTTCCTGCTTGCACGTGCGGTGCTCTACGCCATATCACATCTCATAGGGAACAAGATCATGTTCTCCAATTCCTTATTGGGCTCAATGATTCTTTTTCTCCTTCACGTGCTCAGATTTTGCTGCTTGATCCTCTACCACCGCTTGCCAAGGTGTTTTCTATGATCCTTCAGGAGGAACGTCAACGCCAGCTACCGGTCTCCTTGCCTGCTCATGCCATTCTGGATTCTCCTCTCCTGAACTCTATCACCACCGTCACAGCTCCTCCATCTGTGGCAACCACCGCCCTACTCCGCTCACGTCTCCTTTGCAATTACTGTAACCTATCTGGCCATACCCGTGACAAATGCTTTAAGCTTCACAGGTATCCTCCTGGCTATAAGCCTAAACAGGCAAGGCCCAATTTACTACCTACCCAGGCCCATTCCATCCTTGGGGTCCCTCCTAACCCGTTATTTTCCCCCAATTCCCACAATCGATTTTTCCCCAACCCTAATCCTCATCCTTCCTCTACTGATGCTCCACTGGCCTTCACGCCGTCTCAGTACAATCAACTGCTATCGCTCATTCAACAGGGTTCTGCTTCTTCACACTCCGCTGCTCCTTCTGTCGTCGATTCTTCTCCCTCGGTTGCCAGTTTTAGTGGTAAACCTCTTCTTTCCTTTCCTTCCTCGTTTTGGGTTTTGGATACTGGTGCTACACACCACGTATGCGTCAGTCTTTCTCTTTTTACATCTTCTTCTCCTTCTTCTTCTCGTGTCTCTTTTCCTAATGGTGTCTCTGAGGTCGTCTCATCTGTTGGTTCAGTTTCTCTTTCTGCTTCCCTTTCTCTAGTTGACGTTCTTTACGTGCCTTCTTTTTTGTTCAATCTCCTTTCTATCAGTGCTTTAACTCGTGACTCTCCTGTAATAGCTAATTTTTCTTCTTCTTTTTGCTTTCTTCAGAACCGATCTTCGGCAAGGATGATTGGGATTGCTAGGCGTCATGGTGACCTTTACGTTTTGGATAGTTTAAATCTTTTTCCCACAAACACTGTTCCCCAATCCCTTTGCTTTTCTTTTTTTGTAAAAGATCCAGTTCTCTGGCATTCTAGACTAGGTCATCTTTCCATTCCTGTTTTGAATTCAATGAAATGTGTTTTGGGTTTTTCCGAGTGTTTGAATACTGCTCATCATTGTGCTGTGTGCTCTTTGGCTAAACAGAAACGCTTGCCGTTTATTTTAAACCCCAAACTTTCGGATTCTCCATTTGCTTTGGTCCACTGTGACATCTGGGGTCCTTTCAACACTCCATCTCTTGAGGGATCCCGTTATTTTCTCACTCTAGTTGATGATTCAACTAGGTTCACTTGGTTGTATTTTCTTCGCACTAAATCTGAATTTTCCACTGTTTTTCCTGCTTTTTACAACCTTGTTCTTACTCAGTATGCTGCTTCAATCAAATCTCTCCGCTGTGACAATGCACCTGAGTTTCTTTTGTCTTCCTTCTTCTCTTCTAAGGGTATCCAAGTCTTTCATTCTTGTGTCGATCGTCCACAGCAGAACTTGGTTGTTGAGCGAAAGCACCAACATCTTCTAAATGTTGCCCGCGCCCTACACTTTCAATCCCAAGTCCCTCTTTCTTACTGGAAAGACTGTGTTGCCACTGTTGTCTACCTTATCAACAGGACCCCTTCACCCTTTTTATCCTCTAAATCTCCCTTCGAATTGCTTTGCCATAAACCACCATCCTATAATCACCTCCGTGTGTTTGGGTGTCTCTGTTACAGCTCCACCCTTCCTAAGACTCGCCACAAATTTTCTCCCCGTGCCTTACCTGCCTTGTTCCTTGGTTATCCAACCGGTTACAAAGGATACAAACTCCTTGACTTACAAACCCACAGAACTTACATTTCTCGTGATGTTGTGTTTTTTGAGCACATCTTTCCCTTTGTTCTTCACCCTTCCTCAACCAATTTCCAGACTGAACTCTCTGCCCTCCCTCCTTCTATTACTCCTCAGCCTGATCTTTCGGCTGTTACTGTTCCTTCTCGAACCCAGAGGATTAGACATCCTCCTGCCCATCTCTCTGACTATATTTGCTCCTCTACCACACCTTACCCCTTATCTAGTTGCCTCTCCTATAATAAAATCTCCTCTTCTCATTCGGCCTTCATTAATTCCATCTCTTCCCATTTCGAACCCACCTCCTACTTGCAGGCCTCTCAATTACCGGAATGGCAGGATGCTATGCAGGCTGAGCTCTCTGCTCTTAACATTAATAATACTTGGTCAGTTGTCTCCCTTCCTCCGGGCAAGCAAGCTGTGGACTGCCGTTGGGTGTACAAGGTTAAGTACAACTCAGATGGCTCCCTTGAACGCTATAAAGCCCGTTTGGTGGCTAAGGGATTTACTCAGCAAGAAGGGATCGATTTTTTGGACACTTATTCTCCTGTGGCCAAACTGACCACTGCCAGGGTGCTTCTGGCCTTAGCAGCAGTTCACAATTGGTCCTTGACCCAGCTTGATGTCAACAATGCGTTTCTCCATGGTGAGCTGAATGAGGAGGTCTATATGCACTTACCCCCTGGTTTTTCCTCTCAGCATTCCTCTCTAACTTGATGAATATTTTGATATATACTGAATATTTTGAGCTAAAAAAGACAAGCTAGAAGAAGACCCCTTTTGATATATACTGGGTTTGAATATTTTGACTGGGTTGTAAACTCTCTTTTGATTGTTTTGTGTGTAGTTTTCTTCTAAGAAAGGTGATCTTGATGAAAAAATGTTGGATTTTGATTGGAAAATGGAGGGGGTGGAGCAATATACGAGGGAAGACATTATTGTCTTTCTCAAATTATAAATGCTAAACAGAGACATACATGTTTACTCCACTTTTCAGCTTGTATAGTTATTGTCTCATTGTTATTTAGGGAAAAAAATTTCTGCTTTGCTGTTATCAGCTGATATTATAAATATCTGCTTTGTCTCATTTTGAAGAATAAATATCTTATATGGCAATCCATGCAAAACCCAATACTAGTATATATGAATAATTAAAGCTCCAAATTGTGACAAGATGTAGGGTGAGCCTAAGGAGAAAGTCGATGGTGATGGAAAAGATGGTACCCACAAATCAGGTGATAAAGTTGTGTCTTTGGGGCATAGTGATGAACCAATTGAGGAGCATGCACGAGGAGTTGATCAGAGTGAGGTTGACTATTTATATTATCAGTTTTACCTTTTCAGGAAAAAAAGGAAAACAGAAAAGTTAGAAGAAGAAACTATTGGCAATTAGTGATACAAATGGGTTCAAATATTTTGAAATGGTTCTGAACTCTCTTTTGTTGGTTGTTTGTGGCAGTGTTCTTCAAAGGAAGCTGATGTCAAAAATAATGCTGAGAACCTTGATGAAAAAATGTTGGATATCGGATTGAAAAATGGAGGTGGAGCAATAGATGAGGTGAGATATTGTTGTCTTTCTCAAATCAGAAATGCAAAGACAAGAGATATATATGATTGTTTCTTGAATTCCTCTAGTGTGTATATTTCGTGCTTGGATAATAGTCATTGGTTTTTAGGGAAAAGTTACTGCTTTGATACTGTCAGCTGATTACTGTATACTTCGGTTCGAGATTATATTTGCTTTAAATACATGCTGACTGGGTTGAGTTGTTTTCACAGGTGGAACCTGAGAAACCTACTGATAGTCATAGTGATGATTGAAATGTTCTTCAGGAAAATCAGGCAAAGTGAATAGCGATTGTGATTTTGTTTCTAGGTAGTCCATTTGGTTCACCACAATACCTGGTGATTCTAATTGTAGATCTTTGTTAGTGGTTCATGAATTACCCTTGGCCCTTCACAAAGTGATAATTCTGTAGATTTGTGGCATGTTTTTCCGAAATTAGATTTGTGGCATATATAGTCATAGTGCATATATATATATATATATATATATATATATATATATATATATATATATATATATATATATATATATATATATATGTATGCACTACACGTTTAACAACTTGATGATCGAAACAACCTTCAGGCTTATGAACACATAATGGCTAAGGGCTACTACCACTGAACTCTAGAAGCTGGATCTCTAACTTAACTTTTAGTTAAAAAACAAGAAAACAAAAACAAAAACAAAAACTGGTTCAGAGATCGTAATTTGTCTACAATTTGATTTTGAGCTTTTTTTTGTAGTTAAATTATATGAAAGGGTCATTGGGGACAAAGTAACTTTGCAAAAACCAGATATTCAGGAGCCAGTTGTAGGTTATGTCGACATTGGTGGATCATGCTCTTTACAAAGCTAAGTGTCGGATCTTCACGTTGAGATTCTAACTTTGGCATACGGGAAGTTGGATTCCTATTAAATGCGATGAATTGAAACTCTCATTCTCATTTGTAAATGTGTGGGCCCAATCAACATTTGGGTCCCTCTGCACAACAACACTCCTAAGCAGAGATCCCAATTTCGCATACTGGTGTGTGAGGGACCTAGTTCAACAAAAATGAGAGTAAATTCCAGGGGTCGAGATGCTGGTAATATTTCCTATCAATTGACAATAGTGATATGTATAGGGATATTGATACGATTGTATAAAAAGGACTGAGGTTTCTTAAGTAACTCATTAGTGAATTGTATTTAGGGGTGTTAACGGGCTGAGCCGAATCAAGGTTTGGTCTTAAAAGGCTAAGCCTGTGTTTAAATGTGTCAGTTTGACCAAGCCTGTTACCTGTTATAAATATAACTATCGGCTTGTGGCCTGACTTATTTACAAAAAAATAAAAGCCTTGTTTAGCTTGTTTAAAAAAATAAGACAACAAAAATTTATCCAAACAGAATATACAATCAACAACCCTAGTAATTTCATAAATATTCATAAATTCAATTTATATCCAAACAACATAATATAAAACAAAATCATTCAAAAAGTCTGTTTAACTAATAAAATGGGGTGAAATGGATTGAGGAGAAAGAGATAGTTATTATAAGTAGTATAAAAAATAAAAAATAAAAAATAAAAATAAAAAATAATATACTAGGCCAGTCTGAGAGGCTTTAAGGCCGAGCTTTTGAATTAGAGCCTTAGGTCTTTTTATTAAACGAGTTTTTATAAAAGTCTAAGCCTGTGTCAACAACCAATTTTAGACATCTAACCTCAGACCTTCACGAGCTGAGCCAAATATCCCTGGTTTGTTTAATACCCCTAATTGTATTGTAAATGATTGTTAATCATTTGAGAGTTTTCTCCTCATAACACGAAGGAAATTTGAGTTGTATCAAGTGGTCATACTGCATGTTGCAACAAAACTACGATGATTAATATCTTGAAATTGGAACTTGAGCAATCCAAGGGAGTAACCTGTCATGCCAATCAAAATTTCAAAAAATGAGGGATGGTTACTGTCAAGGGTTGAGGTGAATGTAGTTGTTTGGTAGGCCAAAATATTAACGAGAGTTTTTCGAATTTATGTTTGATTGATGGTAAAATATTGTTTAGAATATGTGATGAATTTACAAAACTAACCTCATGATATCTGACTTTTCAAACACGATTAAAAACAAAAAAAACACAAGCGCGTTTTGTACAAGCACAAAAGAGCTATTTCCTTCGGACTTCTTCACGGACTCCGTTGATCCTGTGTATACAGAGCTGGGGTATAGTAAAGGGTGTAGATTTATCTGGGGTACAGTAAGATTGTTTTCCTATCACAAGATAACGAATTAATATGGCATATCTTAGTCTCAAATTAAACCCAATCCAATATTTTTTTTTGTCTGATTTTATAATGTTAAGCAGGGAGGACTTCATAGTATGATATTTTGCATTTTTTTGGCTTCTTTTGAGGTGTTTGTGCACCTGTTGAGGAGGAACTTATGTTTGAGAATGACAAGGAGGATGAAAGAGTTGATCTTGTTGGAAGAGGTAGCTATGAGACAGCAAGAGCTGGAGACTATGAAGAGGGAGAAAAAGTTGGTTATGAATTCTGTGAATGGTACCCTTCATCTACATGCATTGAGGTTGATGAGAAGAGAACTGGGTCTCTTTGAGGATTTCAGAGACCCAGTTTGGAATAATCACATATTTTGCCATAGCAATACCCCTAACTTGGATACACTGCTTAGCCACTAGCTGTTGGTCACTTGTTTCCCCTTAAGGTATCTCAAATTATATACACAATAAATTTCCCATAGAATACAAAAAAGAGAAATTCCATATTTGGATTCATGGATGTTCTTATAATATACATGCAAGCATTTAACAAAACATTCACACATGCATTCTAAATTCCATTAAGTACAAGCATCAATACACCATTTAAAACTGAGTTTCAAAGTCACAACACCACATAATATGCACAAATTTAATGTCAAAAATGAATGGTTTCCTAAACTTACATAACTGTTTGGGGTCTTCCCAAAAACCTCAAGTGTTCTTTGTCCGTTATTTGGAACAATCACATATGTTGCTATAGAAATACCCCTAACTTGGATATACTGGTCAGCCACTAGTTGCAGGTCACTTGCCTCCTCTTAAGGTATCTCAAATTATAGAGCTATCAAAACAGGCCAGCCCAGCTCATTTAGCCCTAGCCTGTGTGGGGCTAGAAAACCCACAATGATATTGGCTCACATAGGCCAAAAGTCCTATGGTTAGGTCCATCCCGTGGGCCTTCTAAAAATTTAATGTGTATTTTTTTTTTGTTAAAAAAAAAAACCTATACTTGATTTTTATTAAGCTTTTTGTAATTTTTCAATTTCAAGCAACAACCTATATCAAGTTCCAACTTGGTTTTCCAACCAATTTGATTTTTATTATCCTAAAACCTAATAAAACAATCAGATACAGATACATCAAGAGATTAGTACTTCTCTGCCTAATGCAAACCCTAAAGGTGACAAAATCTGATATCATAAGACAAGAACAAAACTTAGTGAAAAGAACAAAACTTATGTGTACTGATAAGTAAGTAGTAACTGATATTCAAGGTGACAAAAATGATCAAGATGGCCAGTAATGTTAAGTCCATTAGTCAATCTATAGATCTCGTTTTCCCTATCTAAGTTGATCCTTTTGTCTATTTCTTCTTTCGTAATCTTTTCCACAAGATACAATTTCTTCCACACAATTTTGGTCCTCCATAATCTTCAGCAATAGCCGCTGCAATATGATAGAAACTATGATTGTCAAGGGTGCAAAATCCGAAGCCCATCAAAAGACATACAAAACAATGTCTTCCAACTCAAAAAGGTTTATATTTGTGGAAACTACAATGATTCAAAATTGGGTTAAAACAAGTAAATCAAAACAAGAAAAATAAAACACGATTTCGAGACTCACCAAAGCAAAGTGGCCTCGGAGCAATGGTGAGAGATGCAACACTGACCTCAAACAAGATCCATACCATCAAAGTACTACTCCCCTCACACTATCATTTCCTTTTATCTACTTTAAGGAAGCAATATCTTCTTGTTTTACCCTCTTTAATATTGAAAGTGTTATTGCTTAACAATCCGTATCCAAATAAGCAATCACGATTTATAATGCATGTATGGTCTGACAAATTATAAAATATATAGTATAAAAATTTGTACTTAGGCACAATGAATTTGTGGCTTACTTATATTTTCTGGAACAGAGAATATATAGTACCTGGGTGGATGTATTCTTTCTAGATGGCTTACTTATATAGTACTTCAGCAGAAAAATTGAGTTGACAGAAATGGCTTGTACTTAATGCAGCTGATCAAACCTCCTCACCAATGACCATACCTAGAGAAAGCAAATCTAAGCATGATAAATAATCAATTTCACACAGACAGGGTAGGTGCCAGCAAAGCATAATCATCATTCGAGCAATCTCAATCAAAAAAGTTTCTGCATTATACAAAAATATAGTCAGGAAGCACAACAAACTCTTTATTCCTCAGCAGTAGAAAAGAGGAAGAGAAAACAGAACCAAATTTGGGATCGCTTTGTACTTGGTCTATGTTAACCTTCACGTAAAAAGGTAATGATTCAACTCTTGTAATGCACTTCTGCAGAAACCAAACCAAGCTGATTGAACCTTCAATGAGTTAAAATGTAGAATGTAAAGAACCTTGCAAACCCCCCACCCTCCTTACCTCGTAAAAAAATAAAACAATAAAAAAAATCTGTCCACTCAATCAAAAACCAAAGTTCTACCGCAAGATTTTTACATGAGTAAAAAGACTCAGGATTGGACACTTGATGTTGGTTGCTGAAATACAGTAAGAAGAGCATTAATTAGTCCTCGAATTATAGCAATAACTACCACTCTCAGCAGCTTGAATATAACTAACTATTCCAACTCCAAGCTACTCTACGTGTAACACATTTATAACTAGTTGAAATGGAAAAACTGAATGCAAATTAGGTTCTTCATTTTGTTAACAATTAACGGACTGGTGCACATTATTATGAGTTTGCAATATTCATCCTGTATGTATGATTCGGTAGTCAACTTTAATCACTCCACTAACATCAAAACGAATCATTTCTTAAGAATTATTACTTTCTCTACAATACACCTTGGACTCCATGCTTTTTCTCCTCATTCAAACAAGCAACTGAACAAGTACTAAAGAGTACACAGCACTGAACGGTGGTACGTTTGTTAAAATAAAAAATAAAAAATTGAGTATCTTATCATTGAGGTAATAAGAGACTGTTGGCAGTATTTAATCACAGAACAATTGCTTGTCATTAATGTCTTGAAAGTAAGGCGTACTTCAGAACAATAGGTTGTTTCTACCATGAAATTGCAATACTTTTGCCAGTCTTAGTGCTATTAAAAGAAGATCGATCCATAAGTTGTATTTAAACTTCTATGAGCTAGTAAAATCACCAAATAAATTAAGCCATAATGTTATGTGGTTGAGATCTGTAATTCTGTATAGACCAATGCATTATACAGAAGAAATGAGAGGCTGAGAATGGGCTTTGTTGTCAATGGAAGAGGCTTTAACGTATGCTGTCATAAAAAGGAGAAAGGAGAGGCAGCAACATACAAGGAAATTATGTCATAAAGGAAGGAAAAAGCTAAGAATAGAGTAATATAACCACTCCACCAATAACATCATGCAATGCCACATTATCACTGAGCTGAAGAAAAAGAAAAAATATCTGGCAACGAATTAAAAATACTTGGATACTTGGTTAAAGTTATTAAACTCCAGACCTTTTTCTCTGCATGCAGCTTTCCCACGCTTAACAGCCATTTCAGCCCTATGCTCTGCGGCCATTTTCAACAGATGTTCCTCTTTTTTTAAAAAAAGAATAAGAAAAGAATAGAAAAATAGGATTGCAAATTGTCTACCTCTTATATTCTTAAGAGAAAAAAAATTAAATCCAATCATGGGTTCATCGCGCACCTTAAAGCTTTGGGTTGATGTCGTTATGAGAATATGTCTAAATAATCCTTGACAGGTGAAGCCACATTTCTTACCTCTTTGGATTGGCACAACAAAAACATATAACTTGGCAATCTTAATTTCTCAAATCCCTATTTCAAAATCAAGAAAGTATTCTATTGAAGAAAAATAAAAAGGTTCGTACCTTTGACTCCTTATGATATTTTGGGTGGTGATTTCCTATCGGCAAAGACAAATCCAAAATAATCAGAATGACTAAATTAAAATAAAAATAAAAAAATAAAAATACAAGAGATACAAACTGGTTCACGTAAGACAGCATCCTGATCAGCAATATCAATGTCGCTTGCATTGTTTAACTGTTTAAAACCATTCACTGCAGCTTCATCCACCTTCTGAGTAAACATCCTAATGTACTGGAGTGCTGATTTTCAAAGAGTGCAGAGTGAAACTGTAGTAAATCCATTATCCAATCCTTAAAATAAAATAAAAAAAGGATATGTATATTACAACCAACAATAAATTTAAGCATGTAAATTGTATTCTATTTTTCAATTTTGCTCTTGGAGAGAATCATATATGAAGTGCTTGTTCACCAAACATGGAAGAGACAACACGAATACTAGCACCTAATTCAACTTCAAAGGCATACTTCGATACATTTTGTCAATACAAAACCTTCCACAATCATATTACTTGCTACATGTTTCTTGGTTTCACCTTTCAAAGTTCGATTTTGAGGAGTACCAAGTGCCTGATTTACTAAACACAGAGAAGAGACAATACAAATACTAGCAATTAATTGTACTTTGAAAAATTTATAACTTACCACCTTAAGACATGCTGTCAGCAATTTTCATAGTCATACAGTTACTGCATAGTTTATGACATAAAATGCGAACAATAGGTTGTTTCTACCACGAAATTACAATACTTTTGCCAGTCATAGTGCTATTAAAAAGAAGATCGATCCATAAGTTGTATTTAAACATCTATGAGTTAGTAAAATCGCCAAAAAAGTTAAGCCATTATGTTATGTGGTTGATTTCTGTAATTCTGTATAGACCAATGCATTATACAGAAGAAAAAATCCACTATGAAAACAATTTAAAAACACTTGCCAAAATGTACTACATTTTGTGCATATATCAAGGCAAACTGTTGTAAATATTAGGTATTTTATTATTAATAGTATTTGTTGTATTGGGCCAAGCCTATTAGGTCAAGAATTAGGTTTTTTAGTCTCTATAAATAGAGACCTCTTTGTATCAGATTAATACACAATTCAATAATATTTCAAATACCCTTTTCTTTCAAGTTGGTATCAGAGCTCTCGATCCTGAGGGCTCCGCTTCCGCGCCTATTGTCTTTAGAACAAGAACCTTTTATTCTTTTTGTCTCTCGCTGCCACCAGATTTTTTTCCGGGGACCTCTTGGACCGAGAAGATCTCTGTTATACTGGATCTCTGTTACTGTTCATCGTCTCCATTATTCTTCATCACAAGACAGCATCTGTTCATCACGATTGGACCCTTTCCCGGTGGTTTTTCAACTCCGAACAGACCCAGAAAGAACCGCGCTCACCGGACGACGTTGCTCCAGAAATTTCAGACCGAACGGCCACCGCACGCGCCCACACGCGCTGCTCCTTCAACCGCGAGTGAAGCCCACGCGCAGCTAATCTCATCGGCGCATGGCGGCGTGTGAGACCATTTTTCCGGATCGGACCACCGCGATCTTGATCGTCCCTTCATCCTCTTTCTGGATCTGTGCTCCTCTCTTTGATCGGACATCGTTTGGTATTTATTTGTGATTTTTTGGCTTCTTGGAGCTTTTCTTTAACCATTTTCTGTGCAGTATGGCCTCTTCTCAAAGGAGTTCTTTTTCAAAATTTTATGATGGTACCTCTTCTAGACCTAAGAGAGATGACCGATGGTGTTCTTATTGTAAAAGAACAGGTCATATCAAGGATTTATGCTTTCGCCTTTATGGAAAGCAAACTGTCTTAGAAAAGATGGCAAGGATGCCTGGTCAAGCGCATTTTACTTCTTCTGAAATAACCCCTGCACCTAATGAGACCCAATCTGCATTTCGTCCAGATGAGTTGGAACGACTCCGAACCATTCTTGATTATCTGAGTAAGCCATCTGATACTAGTGCTTTGGCTATGACTGATATGAGCTCCAAAACTCATTCTTTCATTTCTTCATGTAATGATTTTAAACATTCTTGGGTTGTTGATTCTGGTGCTACTGATCATATGGCTTGTTGTGCTGACTCCTTTATTTCTTATCATCCTACCATTGGAACTCATACAATATCCATAGCTGATGGCTCACATACATCAGTTGCGGGTTCTGGTGACATAAACTTACAACAGTCCTTACATCTTATGGATGTTCTTCTTGTTCCTAAACTCTCCACGAATCTTCTTTCTATTCACAAAATTACAAAAGATTTGAATTGTACTGTAACCTTCTTCCCTACCCATTGTGTTTTTCAGGATCTCGCCACGGGGAAGACGATTGGTAGTGCTAAAGAGCAAGGTGGGCTGTACTATCTGGTGTCACAATCTCCCGCAAATAAAGTAACAGATCACACCTTCATGTCTCATGGTCAATCAACTGCTGATTCTTTAATTTGGCTGCATCATAAGCGTTTGGGTCATCCTCCATTTAGTTTACTCAAATCTTTATTTCCGTCATTGTTTTTGTCTAAATCTGTTGAGTCTTTTCATTGTGATGTTTGTGAATTTGCTAAGCATCATCGTGTGTCTTTTCCTTCTAGTATTACTAAGAGTGTTGAACCTTTTGATCTTATTCATTCTGATGTTAGGGGTCCTTCTGTAACATCCCCGTCTCGAGCCGGTTCAATTAACATACATATGATACAAACAGAAACAGCGGAAGACTTAACTTACGAAAATATGAACTAACTTTTTCTTTTTCTTTAATCCTTTTTCACATGACATATCACATTGCATACTTCTTGTAATTTAATTCTTATTTTACGGAGACGAAAATCGGACAGAGTAACCTCTGTAAATCGGACAACTGGGGATTTTCCAATCCCACTCTCAAGAGTTCCTGATAGACAGTTTAAACAATATATATTTCCAGAAGTACCAGTCATGCAAATATACTCAGATACCCATCTATGGGCGCATGCTGAAGTTGGCTCCGTGCCACAAATCTAATAGCATGCAATCCAATACATAACATAACTGAATACTACATAGTCATATCATCATGCCTGAATACATAAATGTACATGTATCGAATATGAACACTATGCAACAATACATCTTTTCCAAAAATACGTCTAAAACAAATAGTAGCATCCGACCACCCAGAACTCCACATCCTCATACTAGTACCTCTAGCCACGGTTAGTGTCCTTGTCCCATGAGGCTCTTCAATTAACTGTGTTCCTAAAATCATATCCCCAAACGGGGTTAGAGACGAATCTCTAGTAAACTCCAGGTTTATGGAAAACCCTCCATACCCTGGGCTCACTTCCTGCATGACAGTCAGATACATAATATACAAAACATCATATAAGCAATTATCATAACTGAACAAAGCATATATACATATCTTATCAAAGACAAACGCAGTCATTCCCAAGGGATGACCCCAAGCGAAAATCAACGCACGTAACAAATATCTTTTACAAAAATCATCACAATACTCACATCAGAACAAAACGTGTTATATCAAAGATGTACGCAATCGTTCCCAAGGGATGACCCCAAGCGGAAATCAACGTACGTAACAAATATCATTTACAAAATCATCATACATATCCCATAAAACATGTCATATAATCAAATATCATAACTAAACAAAACATATACACATATCTTATCAGAAACGTACGCAGATATTCCCAAGGAAGGACCCCAAGCGGAAATCAACGCACGTGTTCCCAAGGGAGGACCCCAAGCGGAACCAGAACATATCAGAGGCGTACGCAGTCATTCCCAAGGGAGGACCCCAAGCGGAAATCAACGCACGTGTTCCCGAGGGAGGACCCCAAAGCGGAACCAGAACATATCAGAGGCGTATGCAGTCATTCCCAAGGGAGGACCCCAAGCGGAAATCAACGCACGTGTTCCCGAGGGAGGACCCCAAAGCGGAACCAGAACATATCAGAGGCGTACGCAGTCATTCCCAAGGGAGGACCTCAAGCGGAAATCAACGCACGTGTTCCCGAGGGAGGACCCCAAAGCGGAACCAGAACATATCAGAGGCGTACGCAGTCATTCCCAAGGGAGGACCCCAAGCGGAAATCAACGCACGTGTTCCCGAGGGAGGACCCCAAAGCGGAACCAGAACATATCAGAGGCGTACACCATCAGTCCCGAGGGAGGACCCCAAAGCGAACATCCGGGTACTATACAATCAATGGCCAGATATTGTTACAGAAATCATATTACAGAAGTCATATCATAACAAAACATATCATATTAACACATATCAAAGTAAATACATCAAAACAAAACATATCATATTATCATATAGCTCTATATGAATGCATCTATATCATATATCTCATACATATCATACAACCTGACCACAGTCCGTACACTATGGCGGAACACAAAGTAGGAGCGAACCCCATAAACATAGAGCTTACCTCTTTGAGCTTTACAATCTGCTTACTTGAAGAACAAGCTACTTATCATACTCCACGAGAATCCAAACGTTCACAGTCCCTAGGTACACCTAGAGAAGGAATTCAACTTAAAACTCAATAAAATGATATAATGCCATGTAAATATACAAGAAACACACTTTATTGTTTATTTTCTTTTTACTTAATCATATTAAGTCATGAGTGGGTGGTTCTTTGTTCAACAAATCCCCACAAAATTCCACATATTCACTTAGTCTTAGGATAGTCCCAAAAGGCCTTTAGAACACTCATTACTCCTCTTAGCACCTAAAAGTCTATTTTTCCCAATTTAAGGCCGAATGCCCATTACAAAGGAGCTATAAGATTTCTCTTTGTCTAGTGCCTAAACCCAAGCTTAGCCACCTATATAAATTATTTTACGCATATAAGTGTCCTCACTTTGCGAAACAATATCTTCGAACATATACCTCATTTGAAAATGGCCAAAACTCATTTTAAGGCCATACAAAGGAGCTACCTTATTTTCTTTTTTATTTCACCAAAGCGAAGGTCCATACACCTTAGAATATCATTCCACGCATAAAAGTATGCTCGCTTTGTAAAACAGTAACTCATAGCACATACTTCCTTTGAAAATGACTAAGAGGCACATAAAGGAAATCATGCCAACTTCATGATTTCAATGCTTTACTCCATCAAATTCAAGCTTATCACACACCTCTAATCCAAGATTCGTTAATTGATATATACGACACTGTTCATCTCTACAATACTATTCATGTATGCGTCACTATTCACGTATACGACACTATTCAAAAATACAGTATTTTTAATTTTCCAAAATACATTTTCACCGTTAAAATTCTCATCTAAACACTTTTCTCAACATGAGCTAAACCTGAATTAAGCTCTAACATGCTCAATCAATCCAAATTTTTTAAAATGAAAACCTATATTCAATCTTTCTCAAAACTCAAAGAAAACAAAGTTTTCTTAACATGAACTTACCTAGAATGAAGGGAGAAGCTTGCTTCAAGCTCCCATGGCTTCAAGCTCCATCAAAACCCATATTTTCCATGAAATTCGAATTCTTTGGGGGAGAATATCTCTCTCTACAGTGAACCCCACTCAGAAATACTGGTACCAATAGATTCCTCTCGAAATTTCTCACAGGTTTGGCTTTGGAACGAAGTGATTTGGAGGTCTCTAGCTCAAGTTATGAATTTTGGAAGAATTTTAATCAAAATCTCCATTTTCATTTTCTTTCCTTCGTTCTCTCTGTCTCGCGTACGTAAAGAGAAGGGAACAGTGACTCACTTGAGTCACTTATATAAATTCATTATACTAGCGGGTATAAGCTCATCTATCTACACACCTCCATTCATTACCAAACTTTAACCAATAAACTAGAATATTTTTCTAGTCACGTTTCTATTTTTACTTTCACTTTTAGATAACTTTATTTACCCGCATTTTTTACCTCTTAACTGTCATTTTAACTCATTGTTCACCAAAAGTGACTTTATTTCTTTTTCTTTGTAATTATCCTTCAATATTAAATCCATAATAAATGTGAGGGTCATTATATTCATCCCACCTTTTAAGGTTTTTGCCCCCAAAATCACACATATAACATAACACATACCTGACGTCAAACTCAGGATAACGCTGGAGAATATCATTCTCTCGCTCTCAAGTAGCATCCTCAGAAGTCAAACTTTCCCATTGTATCTTAACCCATTGTATCTTAACCATAAGAATAACCATGTTCCTCAATACTTTCTCATCGCGAACCAGAACTTTCAGTGGTCCCACAACAAACTTCAAATCTTACTTTACCTCATTATCGTCGTGTTGAACAATGTGGGACACATCAGATACATCTCTACAAAGTTGACTGATGCGAAAAACATCATGCAAATTAGACAAATGTGGAGGTAAGGCAAGCTGATACGCCACAGGTCCGACCCTCTTTATTATCTGGTGGGGCCTTATGAACCTAGGACTTAACTTCCTCACACCTAGAGCACGCCTAAACCTGTAGTCGGAGACAAACTAATAAACACATGATTCCCTTCATAAAATTCAAAGGGTTTATGTTTCTCAATCTCTTTTACATATAATCGAGCCAACTGCTCAATAGAGCAACTCATCTTGACTGGAATGAAATATGCATACTTAATCAATCTGCCTACCACAACTCACATAAAATCAAAACCAGCCTAAGTTCTCGGCAATGCTACTACAAAATCCATAGAAATACTAACCCACTTCTATTCCAGAATATTCAAGGGCTGCAGTAATCCATAGGGCTTCTCATTCTCAAATTTATATTCGTCATTTTATTTCTCTGAGCTCATTTAAGTTCACTTTTATTCCCTAAGGAACAGTAATAACAATTCACAGTTGGGTTTCTGCACTGTTTTTAACGAAGTGCCCTGTGAATTACAAACTGTGCACTGTTTGCACGCAAAATCGTAAAATTTCTAAACTTATCATTTTTGGTATAAACATGACTTGTTTAGCATATAATGGACTTACTTATTACATCCATCTTCTTACTGAAAATATAATTCCACTAAAACATCAATGTATCAGTCTTTCTACTGATAATATAATTTACAATTTATTGTACATCAGTCCTTGCACTGATAATACAATTTACAATTTCATTGTACACCAGTCCTTACACTGATAATACAATTTACAAATTTTAATGACCAGGGAAACTGCACTCTATGAATTACACAAGGAATATCCTTGATACATGCTAAATGCAAAGCATCACATCATAACTAATACTCTGGTTAACTATTTCAAAGCCATAGGCAG